TTTTCAAACCGCAACCGACAATTCCTACTCACTGTGCCTTTAATTTTGCAATATTTTGATTAGCAGATTTAAATAATTAACTAACCAAAAAGAGACGTAATCAATACTGATTTCCAATTACTGAAAATAAAATGAGGTATTTAAATAAATTGCACCAAATGATGCATGGAATACATTAAAACCTAATGATAAAATCAGACCTAAAAATACATATTTTTTTCTAATTAAAGATGCAGTTTGCAAGATTTTTAAGCAGTGAAACATCTCAGAAGTGTTATCAAGACTCAAGAGGAATAAATAAGTGAAGCTTCTCTGTGAAGAGCCTATCACAGAACACTGATTTGCTGTGTTAAAGGACTTTCAAAATCTGTTTTTTAGGTCAGGCATAGAAAAAAATAAAGATACAACTTGAAGCTCATAATGTCTTTCCCAGTGGAATTTGGTCATGGTTATATAAGTTGTGTATGGTTAGGTTGTTTGCCTGCAGATGATCAACAAATGTCAGACGCATCATGTCAAAACAACTCGTCCACTCGAGGTCGTAACTGCCTGCTATACCAAAAAAAGTTGTGTTGTTTGATCCAGATTCCCTCGAGTGGTCCTGAACCTTTGGCCACTGAATGAACTGACTCTGCCATTTGATCATGTGCTGCCGCTGGCACTCAGGGCTGCTTGTTAAAGTTGCCCCATGTAGCATTTTGTGTCATTATATTATTGGCCAACAACAGGAGCAACAGCAATGTCAATGCCCTGTCTGCCTTTTAGTGTAAGTGATGCAACTGTGGCCTGTGTTAAAGGCTCAGTTCTGCCAAATGAGAAAAAACAAACACATCTTGTCAGTAAAGCAGTGTATAGTTTTGTATTTGTGATATTCAACTGTTTTCACTGAGACTCATTATGGCTGCTTATGTTTGAGAAATATTTGGTTCTAGAAGCATGGTGACTGTGGTGGGTGATAAAGCCAGGGGAGTGTCCAGAGGAGGGGGTGGCCACCTCTGAAATCTGATTGGCCACTTTATCCTTCCCTCTTCCACCTGCATTGTCTGTCAGAGACTGTAGTGGGCTCCATTTTTAAGCTAGAGTGAAGATACTGATGTCAGTCCCATGTCATGCTAGCATGTCGGGAAGGGGGCTGAATAATGCTCCCTTGACCTTTGACCTCAAGATATCTGAATTAATGTTCCATAGATACCCAGAAGTCTCCCATTTGCAGACACGTCCACTTTATACTAATCCCATGCAGTTCTAGGCAACAACCATTGGAATATTTTACATGTGGTATAAATGTGTTATTTTCACTCTGTGTATTGGAATATTTCTGCAAACTGGGGTTCATAAACAGTATTGGAATTGCATAAATTGGGAAGTACTGGAAAGCTGAGACACATACATGCTACCCCTGCGTAAGTCAGTGCCCCACTTGTGCCACCCCAGTCAAAAAAGTCTGTATACGCCCCTGGATGTAGCTGCTAACATGCTAACCGACATTTCCATTCTCCCTCTACTGTTTTATTTACTTCCTCCTGCCATTTTTCTCATCATTGCACACCAACTTGTTTAATAAAAAGAGTTACTTCTGTACAGTAACAGTTCCTAATGAAAGAACTGTTACAAAAGACTACTGTAAGTGTAAAGCATATTGCTCTCACCAGACTGATAACAAATAATAATAATAACAATACGAATGCAAATCACATTTTCATACTTCAAAATGTGCTATAAAACTGTAAACATACCTCCTGTTTATTAAATTAAAGGCCCTAAAATTCAGAGACTTGGTAGATTTTTAAAAACAGCAGATTTAAGCATCCAAAAGTGAGATAAAACCACATGAGCTATGAGATAAGGTATAAAAGAAGACACAAGGGGAAAAAATCTATTTAATTATTCAGCAAAAGACTTATTTTAGACTTAATTAGTGTGGAACTGAAAAAAAATGCAGCACGCTCTGAAAGTTTTAAAAAAAATGTTTGATGGAGAAATTAGTGTGATCAGAATGAATAATTTCACCTGATTTTTGATGACAGATGTGTGCAGGCTGTAGTCTCAGCCTGCATGTTGTCTGATTGGGCTGTATCGCTCGCTGCTGCTGTCTTGTAGGAAGTAATTTAATTTTGTTGCTGAATTCTTTGCATCATTACTTACAGACCAAAACTCAATTTAAATTCCATTACAATGTGTGATGCTATTTTAAGTATGATTATTGAGTGTGTTGGGATAACTTTCTGTTTGCATAACATTTCCACTTGAACGTCCACACTCCTGGCAGTTATAAAGAGAAACGATTAACTTATTATGTACGTACTCTATTAGTAAGCCTCCCTGCCCTGATGATTAAACCGAACAACAAATGACCTTAAGTAATAGCTTGGCTTAATAGGTGGGGCTGTTGATGATTTTATAGGTGGGAGGAAATTATCACAAACCTGTTCAACTTTGGAGCCTCCAAATCTTCAAAATGCCTGTTTTTGTCCGTAATGTGCCTCCTTTCATTATACCACATGAGTGAATACGGTGTCACCAAGCTCATTAGAACCTTTTGTACGCTTATATTTTCTTGTGGGAATCAACCATTAACAGGTTTCTGGGCCCAGGCTCCTTGTTGGAGATACGCTGAGGTGATTGTTTGGGTAGAGGGGCAGCAGACGGTTCCAGGATGTGGAAATCATGACACTGCAGAAAGACCAGCAGCAAAATGGCGTCCTGCCCGCTCCAAAAAACTTGGACTCGTTCTAATTTGTCAAGTCCCAAGCAGCTTATAATAAATTGGAGCTGCCCCGAGCAAAACGCTCCCAACAACTCTCGCCTAATATCAACAAACACGGTTCCAGGTCTAAAAGTGAAAAGGGAAAAGCTCAGTCGCCTGGCATTCTTCGCCGACTGCCCCCCCCCCCACGCATTCTTTGCTAACGAGGAGAAACGGAACACCAGCCGAACTCCTTTCTGGAACAGTCTGTAAAACAAAGAAGAAGGGGGGTCCCTATTTTTCAGTTTCCTCATCAGAAACACTAACAAACACTGTCTCAACCCATTTACAGTGAGGAGTGTGGCAGTGTGTGTGTCTGGGGGGGGGGGGGTACACACCCGCCAACATATATTATGTGCTTGTGTATGACTGTGCATATGATACTGTATGTGTACATGTGCCTTCACGCCTGTGTGCACACACCTGTGAGTGCACGTGTTATGTGACTATATGTATGCGTGTGTGTGTGTGTGTTGTGCTTTCATATTGTAAGAGGAACAGTACACCAGCGAGGCCCAGAGGCCCTTTGGCCCCCACATTATCCATCTCTCACTTACAGGGTCGCAGAGGCCAATTGGCCCTTTCCACTGTTCTGGTTCCTCCCTCAGGACCTCCATTTGTGTACAGGACAGGCATACGAGGGGCCGAAGGGCAGATTTCAGGGGCTTTGCCTTTCTGCTCTATTCCTTTTCTGCTCTTTACTGTCTCTTCTTTCCTTCACTTTTCTTAATGGCTTTTGTATAGTAACCTGTTTTCTTCAGTGTCACTCAGTGTCTAGTTCCCAACACATACGCACACAGACAAATGACTTTCCAAAAACGTAAGCTAAAACTTGCAACCGTTTTGTGTTCTGTTGGGATAACTTGTGGTAATATTTAAACTCTAGCTAAGTGCACAGGCTAAGGATAAGCTTGTGTAACCTAATTAGCAAGACAGAATATATCTAAAACCAATGACAAACGAGAAGAGGAAGTTTATAAAAACAAAAATAAGAATAAGTGAATTTTTAAAAAAGTCAGTTTTTCAGTCATTTCATTAATTCACAGAAACACAAAGCAAGTTAAAACAATATATCATAATCTTCTCAACATTACAGGCAAGTCTTTCTATTAGGATACGCATATTTAAAGGAATTAAAGAAAGTAGCTTTTTGAAGTGGAGTTCATCATTCATCTGGACCCAGTGTATAAATGAACTTTCCACAAGCCACCCAACTTTGATGGAATCATCTGTTAAAAGGTTTCAAGTATTACAATTCAAAATCAGGTCCACTGATTAAGTTCCATCCATTTGGAGAAAGCAGTGGACATAAGTGGAGAGACATTAAAATAATAAGTGGATCAAATTTTCTTCCTCATTGAAGTAAAATGAGCAGTTTGAATAAATGCTAACTTCATATTAGTTAAGGGAAAGACTGTAGCCTGGGGAAAAAATAACTCAGAACACAAATTATCATCAGAATGCACTTTGACTATTGCATGTGCTGGCCAGCTAATTAACTGACAGCAACTACCTCATACTTTGCTAACTAAGTGCATAGGCTAACCATTAGAAGATCAATGCACTTATACAACTTTTCTTATCCCTACATTTAGTCTATGAGGTATACTTACCACAGCGTGTATCAGCAGCCACCACACTCCATAACCGAGATGGTTTTAGGTATTTCCTCAGCAACGTCGGCTTCAGGTTTGGTAACTTTCAAAATGGTGACATCCATACAGGCTAACCATTAGCCTGTGCACTTTGTTAGCCAGGAAGATAAATGCACTCCTGAAACTTTTCCCTGAATTAGTCTATAAGGTAATCTCATAGCATGTCGCGTATCGCTGCCAGCAGACTCTCAGAATGGTGACAGCCATAAGTAGGCCTGTGCTCCCATTCTGCTCTTTTTCACAGAAGACTTGTCAAAGTAATGTGACTGATAACATCTTAGATTGCTGCTCTGCCACCATTCTTATTATCTCCACTTGTGCATTTCCTGCTTTAATAAATCAAAATGTCTGCCAGAAAAAAAAAAGTTGGTTACAAGGATGTTTGTTTGTAGAGAATGGAGCCCGATTTGTATTTCTCTTTGGCCCATGAAAGCGGTCCTGAATCAGGTTTTGTATCATATTCTGCATTCACAGACAGGACCACACACAAGACAACGGCACACTTTTACACTCACTATCATCCCACAGAAACAAAAAACACACAACATTCATATATACAGATCACTTAGTAAGCCCACACACACACACACAGTGACTACCTTGTCTTCCTCTCCACCCGTCCAGCCCAGCCCAGTCCCGTCTGGTCCTGGATGTATTATGTCCCCTTTCCTTCAGCAGTGTGTCTCAGAGAGCAGCCAGCCTGTTGTTGAAACTAATCCCTCACTTCCACTCCCCTCAGTCAGGGTAAATATATACTGGCCCAGCCTGTCTGTCTGGCTGGCCCTGGGCCTGCCCTGCCCCGCTGCACACACACACACACACACACACACCCACACACTGGGACTTCTCCTTTACATTAGTGCATTACAAGAGGGCTGTAAGTGAGATGGCACAGGCTGGGCAAAGGCTGAGCTACTTTAGAAATATTTGTGTGTGAGACAATGTGTGTTTGGCAGACTTGTGTGTGTTTGTGTGTGTGTGTGTGTGTGTGTGTGTGTGTGTGTGTGTGTGTGTGTGTGTGAGAGAGAGAGAGAGAGAGAGAGTTTGTGTGTGTGTGAGAGAGAGAGAGGGTTTTGGGGATGATTATGTGCGAGGGGACTAATTGTGTATGGCAAGCTTGTGTGTATGGCTGTGCAGGAGCCTAGTATAGTAGCCTGTATTCATGTGCATGTGGGAATTTTCTGTGTGCAGGTCTGCTTGTACAGTAAACAGTGCTTTGTGTGCACATAATGGGATTTTACAAATGTAACTGTGTGCGATCTTGTTGCATGTGTTTATGTGTCTGTGCAACTGCCTGAGGCAAAAGCTACCTATTAATTCTCAGGCTCTAGTTTGACTTTTGTGGAGTAGCGGGTTGGTTAGGGTTTGCCCGCACAAAGCCAGGATAATGAGCACCTAGGTGATAAATAATGGTAATAATGTGATACCTAATTAACTCCCCAAGGGGAAATTATCTTTTCTGTTGCCCTCCCTGCACAGGGAGGTCAGGAGTCAGTATGGATCCAATGTCATGCTCAAGGAAACCACAGCTGGGTGGATACTAGCCATTACAGGCGCTTGAAAGTAGATTTATATACGAAAGACTTTGGAAGCAAACTAGTGCCTAAACTTTTTGAATGTCAAGAAACTTGATTTAGACAGAAATAAAGGACACTCTGCTCTCTGAGCCTTCTGTCAAAGAAAGCACTTACACACACTAGTTGCATTGACAACGTGCTTCAAGACACCACCAGTGTGTGGACTGCAGTATTATTCTGAGAATTGTAATATGGAACCAAGGTGTGGCATGAAGAGTAACACATGAACACACAGAGCTATATTCGTGAAACAGACTCCCCTGACCACTTTTCAATGGTTTTAAAACAGCCTATGTTAACATTTTCCTGAGTGCGTACTGCTGCAACATGTCTGAGGTTAGAGGTTGGGGTGTGTTGGGCATACAAAGCATGTGACTTTGATATTGGAGACTGCAGTTTGCATCCCGCCTCCTACCAACAGTCAACTCTACCTTGTGCTGGCAGTCTTTCCCCAGTCTATTCCATGACTGTGCTCTTTGTCTAATCTGAAAAAGCAATTCAATATTACCATAAAGTTTGGCATGAGAGCCAAAATCAAAGCAACAGAAATGGAGATATCCTGAGCTAGAATGGGTAAAACTCCCAAAACACTGGATCCTACATTCCCATAATTTAACAAATTTGATAGTGTTTTTATTAAACTGTCTCTGTCTGACAAATGTCCACATCTGTCAAAGTCAACACCCCCAAGTTGTGACACAGGCTTGCTTTCTGTTTGTAATATCTAAAAACTAGTGCTTTTTTTTCAGTCTTTGTAAAGTTAGTCCAGAGTTTTTACAGGTAGAGTTCCCCTGAAATGTAGCCTAAAAGTCAGATTAACCTGGATCCATTTTGGCAAACCGGTCTCTTAAAAGTTATTACTAAAATGTATTTCCCTATTTCCGTTGCTTTGTGCTGACAAATCACTGCCTGGATTATGTTCAGAGGTTTTTAAAAGAATGACTCACTTTAATTGAAGTTTCGGAAAGATCGTGGTTGTGGGTTTTATCTGCATTAAACAACACCCTGATCTTTCCCTAACTTTAACCAAGTGGATAATGTGTGGCAAGATCAGATATTTTCGCGGAAAACAAGTGAAAGTCAGAAAGATTTGAAATGTATTTGCTGTTGCACATTTGTTGTATATTTAAGTGAAATTTCAGACAGGGTTGCATTTTTTAGACTTCTGAATGGGCTTTTTTCAGCAATACTGTAATAATACATGTAGATTTTTTAATGGTTTAAGAGTCCATCTTCTCCATGTGCAGGAACAATGTATATAGTGGACGTGATGGAGGAGGTAACGCTGACAAATGAGTTCAATATTAGTGTGGTGAGCGATGTTGTTGAATATCTTCTTATTTACTGGAATAATGTGATGTGATGAATCCTATTAGGCCACAGCTGTTTGTATCATCAACAGATACAGAGGTTTCTGCTCCTTCTGTTGCTTTTCTGTTAAAGCAGCACCTCAATGTGTGTTTGCTCCCACTGATCAATACATGTCATTTTCAACTGAACTCTGGGATCTGGATTATTACAATGCATCATGAAACAGGCAAAGCCAAATCAATCCATGCTGAAGTCTTCGGATTCAAAATTTTAACCAGATCCTAACCATAGAAGCAGCAGCTCATTATTTTTGAAAAGTTACGTTGGTTGTTCTGAAAGGTGCTGACGAACCCTGAGTTAAGATATGAGGACTATGAGAACATGGGTGGGCAGTCTCCTGCAGTGAGAACACAAGACTACTTCCCAGCTCCCACTCTACTTCTTCTTAACAAACCCCCCGCAACCTTCTCTCACCCTTCAACTCCACACTCCCCCCTAAGGAGCCTAATCAATAATTCTACTAGACTGGAACCCAAAAAAGTCAGCTGAGGGGAGGATTGCACTTGGTGAGAGCCTTCAAAGTGTCTCTTATGGTGGTGCTGTAATGAAGCGGGCTACAGCATATCTTTGCTACAAGAAAAGCTTGTATCTTCTATGAAGTGCCAAGGAACCAAGAAAAACAAGAGTTGCGGCAAGTGCATTGTGAAACAACAGAGCAGGTTTTGAGTGGGCTTCCATTGGCTGTGTGGCTGTGACACTTTGTCATCCCCTAACAGACAGGCGACACTTCAGCTTTAAACATTACAAAGGGAATGTCCAAAACTTACGGAGTTAAGGGGTTTTAATGCGACAGCAGGGATGTGTGTTCTTGTATTTGGCATACTGATCAGGGGCTTGAACTACTGTGTGGGAGAACTCCCAAGCCCCATTCATTATTCAGGAGAGTGTGAGAGATATCTGCTTCCCAGATTACTTTTCCTCTGAGGTGGAAAAGAGAGAGAGAGAGACGAGGAGATTGAGAGAGAGAAAGAAAAGCAGAGGGAGAGAAACATAAAGGGAGACAGAGACAGCGAGGAAGATACTTTTTTCTTTGTTTCAGAATGTGGTTGTATTAAAATAACATGTAGCTGTACATGTTAAATTCACATGTGGATTTGTGAGACAATAACATCAGTGTTTCATTGATTGTGATACTCAGTGGTGTAGCGCAGGGTGCATGCAGGTATACGCAGTATACTCGCTTATTTTTCATTCGGCATTGGGTATACACACTTCTAAATCCCCTCTGATGCACATCATTCAGTAGTTCAATTAGGAATAAGGGATTCGTCATTCAAAATACATAATTTAATGTCGTTTTCTCACCTGCCAGTAATGATTCTAAAACCACCTCTCAGTGGTTAATGTACATTTTATTATGGTCCTTACTACTTGAAGTCAAGCAGCAGAAGTGACAATATGCAAATACTACTGGCCCATTTTTGGGTGAACTAAATATTCATTTATCCTTTGCTGGATGGGCTGCTTAAAAAAATGGGGGCATAAATTAAGGGTATACGAACTTCTTTAGGCACCACTACAGCACTGGTGATACTTAGTATTAAAGAGGAATTCTGATGATTTGAAGTGTGTTCACAGATGTTGGGGAGTAGTACTGCATATGTTTAAAGCAGCCCAGTCTCACGCAAAAAGTGTGTAATAAACCCACCAATCCACTACAGGATATCGTGTCACGTTTTGTTGTGAAACGTACACACCGGTAGGAAGGTGCACAGGACTCCTGAATAAAACCAAGAGTCAGAGTTCACTTGGCAGGTAACGTAACTAAAGATCTTTACCTAAACCTAACCAAGTAGTTTTGTCACCTTAACCAACTGACACTGTTACGCCTAGGTGAAGCAATACATGACACTAACATGGGAAACAAAAATATAATGATAAAATGGCAAAAGTGATTGTCCTTGAGTCGGTTGGGGGTGCCGAATACTATGAAAAATGAAAAAAATGTGCAGGAGTTAGAAAGAAGTGATCTTACCTCTGTAGCCTGCTCCACGGCTCAGCTTGAAGCCATATTTTAACAGCATGCAATAAAAAAAAATCTCTGGTTCTGTTTTTTTAATCCTTTTTACACTATCCATCACCCGACATTATAGGACTGCAGCTTGGAATCGGTGGAGAACTCTCTTAAAGGTACCCTGTTTAGTTTTTGACCACTAGTAGTGCTATGGAGCAATGTCTTAACAGTTGTCACCTTGTTTTGTTTGTATCTTGCATGAGAACACTCCCAATCACAGACAGGACTTTTACCATGTTGTCTTTTAGGTTTTATGCTATTTAGTTGAACAAGGAACAAGATCAGATCACTGAACAAGATAGTTAGTACAAGATACAAGACTGTTAACCTAGGCCTTTGTTCTTGTGCCAGCCTGAAGACTTTATGTTTCGTTAGCACAGTGTGCATGGGTGCAGAGTTCCATGCAAATGAGGTAACATGAGGTGAAAAAGTCTGAAACTATGCCTTGAAATTCCTTGAAAATGAAACATTAATGCTTTGTACATTATTGAGCTCTTATGTAATCTCATATGCATGTACAGTAAGTTCACCACACTGTCCAGCGAACTGAACACTCTCTCAGTGAGTGTTCATGACCTTAAAAGTGTTTATTCAAGGAAATGTAAAAATGATAAAAAAAAAACTGTTTAACTTTCTCCTTTTATCAGATTGAGAACCGACTAAGACAGCGATAGACTATATGCTTTAAAGATGAATTACTTATGAGAATGCGCAAGCAACTGGATGTCTACTAACTGTTGACT